AAAAATATTAATTAAAATAAAACGTTTGATTTTGGAAATATTAAACTTCCAATCTGATTTTGGAAATATTAATACTTGAAGTACTATTTTATGTAATTACCACTTTTTCCAGCCCGTTTTTCATATCAGAAATTGAAGAGGGAAAATTCCATCTGTAGAACCTTAAAATTGTGGTAATGAAAATTCTAAGAAATTTTGTGAGTTAAATATTGTTTTAAAAAAAATGGGTCCCACCCCATGTGTGTATTCTGTATGATTTCTGTTATTTTTTTTTCTGTACATACAGTGTTTCTCAAATTCTAATTGTGATCTATTTCTAATTTTTGAAAAGATCTAGGGGTTCAGTTGCAATTCCTTTATTTTTACTTTTATTTAGTTTCTATTTTGTGAGGACAAATTTGCCGTCTGACGTGGCTTCGATGATCAAAATGGATAGAATAATGAGATATGTTACATTTTCGAAAGATTGAGAATGTCTAATACTAAAAGAAAAGATTGAGAGTGGCATGGTAACAATTTACAAATGTTGAAAACGAAAAGTGCAAGTTTTCCTAAACATATTGTAAGTACGAACCAACCAAACATGTAGACAATGAAATAAAAATAAAAGAGAGATAAGAGAGAAAGAGCCCTATTGAAGATTAACCAAAACAACCTACACTTTAAACGCGTGATTACTTTAAGACCCACACAACAACAAATTTCAATCATAAAGTCTTCATGCCATCATGTAAGAAAATCGAGTCATTTTTGTCATCTATTAAACAAGATTGACTGTAACACAACTATTTAAAATAAATAAATAAAATTAATTTTATTAATTATACTTTTGACTTATCTTTATTATTATGAGATCAAGAAATCAGCTTTATCTATACCTAAAAAAAAGTGCACAAATTTTAAGGCAAAGTATAATCATTACAGTCATTTAATCTTGTAAAGCTTGTCATATTCCCATTTGATGATTAATATATAAAAAAAATAAAAAATTGTCTGATTTAAATATTAAGGCTATGTTTGGTAAAAATTCTCATTTTCAACAGTAAATCAATTCTCATTTGCAACCA